GCTCATGAAGTGTGGGCTGGATGAGTGGACAGTGAAGTGGATTGAGAACTGGCTGAATGGCAGAACTCAGCGGGCTGTGATCAGCGGCGCTGAGTCCACTTGGAGGCCTGTAGCTAGTGAGGGTACTCAGGCACCCAGGGCTCGGTACTGGCCCAGTCTTGTTCAACTTATTCCTCATTGACCTGGATGAAGGGACAGAGTGTACCCTCAGCAAGTTTGCTGATGGCACAAAACTGGCAGGAGTGGCTGATATACTGGAAGGCTGTGCTGCCATTCAGTGAGACCTGGACAGGCTGGAGAGCTGGGCAGAGAGGAACTGCAGGCAGTTTAAAAAAGGCAAGTGCTCCTGCACCTGGAGAGGAACAACCCCATGCACCAGTACAGACTTGGGGTGGACCTGCTGGAGAGCAGCTCTGTGGAGAGGGACCTGGGAGTGTTGGTAGATGACAAGCTGACCATGAGCCAGCAGTGTGCCCTGGTTGCCAAGATGGCCAGCGGCATCCTGGGGTACATTGAGCAGAGCATGGCCAGCAGGTCAAGGGAGGTTCTCCTCCCTCTCTTCTCTGCCCTAGTGAGGCCCCATCTGGAGTACTGTGTCCAGTTGTGGGCTCCCCACTTCAAGAAAGATGAGGAGCTACTGGAGAGAGTCCAGAGGAGGACTATGAAGATGATGAGGGGACTGGAGCACCTCTCCTGCAAGGAAAGGCTGAAGGAGCTGGGCTTGTTCAGCCTGGAGAAGAGAAGGCTGAGAGGGGACCTTAGAAATGCTTATAAATAGCTGCAGGGTGGGTGTCAAGAGGACAGGGCCAGACTCTTTTCAGTAGTGCCCAGTGACAGGACAAGGGGCAACGGGCACAAACTGAAGCTGAGGAAGCTCCATCTGAACAGGAGGAAGAACTTCTTCACTCTGAGGGTGACGGAGCACTGCAACAGGCTGCCCAGAGGGATTGTGGAGTCTGCTTCTCTGGAGATACTGAAAACCCAGCTGGATGCGGTCCTGTGCAGCCTGCTGTAGGTGACCCTGCTTTGGCAGGGGGGTTGGACTAGATGATCCCCAGAGGTCCCCTACAGCCCCTACCATGCTGTGATCCTGTGATGAGCTCAACTTGGAGCTGATACAGAATTACCCAAGAGATTTTTTTTTTTAATTATGGCATGTCATCACTTCTGACTAAACATCAGCCATAGGTAATCTGTATATTTGCACTTTCTAAAGGTAAGCAACTCTAGGCACACAAGCACTGTGCATTTATCTCCCTGTGAGACAAAAATGAAATAAAACCCTGGCACATGTGCGATCTCAGGGGACAGGTAGCAAAGAACATCAAGGGGGGTAAACAGGGGAGAAGCTAACTAGACCAAACAACAAACCCCTAATGAAAAACAGTATTGCCAGGAGATATTAAGGTACATAAGAGATATGCTTATGGGAAAATACACACAAGCAGAAGAGTTTCAGAGCACAGGGGTGCATGTTTTGTCTCTTTACATGGCCCTGCTTCAGTAAATCCATCCATTAACTTCTGTCCACACTTCTGGAGTACATGGATTACAGGATCCTTTCAGTGGGATGTATGGAGTAAATTCCAGCAGACCAGCACTGCTTTGCTTTTCTTTTCAGCCACAGCTGTAAACTTGCTGATAGCCCATGAGAACATGGCAGAGGTAGGCAGTTCGCATTAGCTTTAGTAACTTGCCAAGAATTCCATTTATAACTCAAACCTTCACACCATTTAAAAAATAAGAGACATTCTGAGATTCAAGTTTTCTCTTTATTACATAAGTTAAGTTAATTTAGGGTGAACCTCTGGAGGCCTCTAGTACAACCTCTTGCTCAAAGCTGGGCCCATGCCAACATCCACACCAGTAACAGCAGTCTGCATAAAGCCACCATAACGTTTTCCAGACAAACCAGCAGCATGGTGATATTCTAGACAAAGAGATTAACTTAACATTTTCTGTGCAGTCGCCTCAAGGCACAGTCTAGAAAATAATTGTAAAGCTGAAGTCAGTATCTTCATAGACACAGGAAGACCCAGAAAATGTAATAAAATCGAAGAGCGTGTCATTGAGGAACTGGACAAACAAAAATCCTTTTTACAGGGACATGATGGACACACGTAGAAACAATACAGTAAAAGTTTCCCATAAGCATAAAGCTTGCTTTGATCAGAGGGACAGTCTTAAGCATGGTTTTCCATTTGACAGCCTGACAGTTCTTCGCCAAAGATCTCTAGACTCCTAAAGAAAACCCCCCTCTTACATTTTCCTGCAAATAAAAGTCAACCTATGTCAGAAATCAAAGAATGAAGTTGTCAGAAAAGAGAACAAGGACTGAAAAAACAGAATTTCTGGAAATTATCCACAGATTATGCGTACACCTTCAGAGAGCTGCATCCAGAAGCTGACTTCTTTATGCTGGTGTAGGCAAGTTTCCCAGATTGCTTCTGATAAATACAGTTTAGGACAAGGACAGCTACCTGAAAACTGTCTTCAAGAAAACCCAAATGAAGACTTCATGGAGAGGATCCTTATCAATCCCACAGACTTAGGGGAATCAATAGTACACACTTTACTGGCAATTGGTGATGGAACTAAAGAGGTTCTCCCTCTGAATACAAACCACAAATTCAAAGTTGAACATTTTCAAAACACCTTGCTCAAGCCTTTTGATGGCAAAAACCAAAGCATCCAATGACAGGCCTCAAAAAGTGCTGTGACAATGGTTCTCCAACAGCATCAGAAACCCTCCTCCACCTTCCACAGAGACACTACCCCCAAAAAATCATCCTTCAACAAAATGCATGCTCTCAGGTGCATTTCTGCTTATGAACTGAAGGCTGTTCCACCCACAGCCTGGACTGAAAACCCAGTCTTCTCTCCCCAGGCACAGACTACCACAGACAGTTATGGCAACAGATGAACAGACATGGAGCTCACACTCTCCCCAGGAATTACAAGGAAGTCCAACATCAGATACTGATAAACAGTTTAAAATACTGCTTGAGGAACTCTGTACAAGAACTGTATTTCCTTGAAGTCTAAGCAGGAAATCCAGGGAACTTCCACTCTGGCAGAGAACTGGGGTTTTTTTGAGGGGTGGTTTTTTTTAAATTTCCATTAGATTTCTAGATTGTGGGGGAAAAAAGCTGCAGTTTTCTTGACAAAAACTCCCAAGGGGACTGTGTGGAGTCATTATGTTATGACAGTTTTTGAAATCCATTAATGGAAAAAGCTTCATGCAAGCACAGTGCATTACCAGCAGCTGAAATATTCTACCATCCACAGTATAAAGTCACTTGCCTTGGAGACATGGGTAATTTAGGGTATTAAGCAACATTTTAGTAAACTGATGAATGTTAACCTCACACCACAGATTTTCTTTGTGAGTGATGCCCATCCCATTGTGTGAGCTCTGAGCTAACAATTGCTGTAAGTCACCTGGACCTAGCAACACTCTCCTCTGCTAGAGCTAGCTGTCAGGGGACCAGCACAGAGCACGACATACAGCACAAGCCTTTATTACAAACTAGTATACCAGGGAACATGGAAGGTTTTCAGAAGGTACCACACTGTACTGAAGAAAAGGAGGTTGGTTTTGCACGAAGTACCTGCGGCTGTGGACAATCAATAGACCAGATATGATGAGTTTCCTATTTTCTGACAGTGACTGATACCAGAAGGTACAAAAGAAAGGTGCCTGCAATGTAGTCATGCACAATTTCAGAACAATCCCTTCACTGGGAAAGTGCTTTGCTAGGTCCTTTGCCAGTTATTGATTTGTGCCTGAAGCGTATTTACACTATAAATTCTTAATGTTGTCTGATGTAGCTATGAATGTCCTCATCCGCAAAAAAACACCTGAACATTTGTAACTTTTCCTAGTAGTTCAGCCTAAATGCAATCTTATGTTTTTGAGTTAGTTATATATGCACATCTTAAGTATATCCTCCTATTTACCTCATCATATGTTCCCCATCTATAAAAGGGAGATATTACCAACTTGTCTGTCCCAGAGGGACCACGGGATTAAATGACTAAGCACTGTACATTTGAGTTGGTGCAAACATCTGTCCTTTATATATCCTCTGCCTAGATTTAACATCTTTCATTCTACCCACTGAGCTCGAAAGAGTTTTATAATACGTGACGTATCAGAGCAAATGTTCATGGCTATTTTCTAAAGAGTGAACATTTATAAAGAGGAAGTAACAGAAGAAATCTAGGAATGCAGGGGATATTTCAAGGTCTGCAACACAAGAGTCAGGCTGGTAGACAGCATGGGGGCACCTCAAACATCCTCAAATACTAAGACTTTATCAGTTGATGACGGGGAAGATAGTCTCTAAACTGCACTTTCTGGATTTAGAGGAGAAATTTCATTTATTCTTTTTCAAAACTCTGAACACCTAAGTGCTGCTGGGAGGTGGGGACAGGAAAGGTAATTAGTCCATGATACATTTGGGAGAAACATTTCCAGCTGCTTGCACTCCAGCAACACATCTCAGCACTGATGTGTGGTACCTGCGGTCTCTCTCACTTGCCAAAACTGCCATAGTTCCATGTTACTGTAGGCTTAACAGGAGGTGTTTGGGGATAAAATGTCCTACGTATGCAGAAAAACATTTCTTTGATGTTCTTTTTCTACTTTGCTAGCACACCGTACTTTATGAAGTCTAGTACATTAAGATGTCACTCGCACCTCTTGGCTAGGTACACAGAAAGTTTGCTTTCCTTAATAAAGATGTTTTCTATCTACATCAAGATTTAGCCAGAGCTCCCTCCTTTATGCTCCCTACATCATATAGTCAAATATAACAGCACTTTCTCCGTATCTTCTCAACACCATGCCTACCTTAAAACCGATTTTCTCTCTCTTCCTTCTAAGCTTTTCTAATGGTACTTCCACATAACAAATGGAACAGCAGAAATTCTTAATACGTGATCTTCCTCTTGAAGTTACAATGCAAAAATAAATATAAGCCTTCAGCTCTCAGAAATCATGACTAACTCAAACAGCTATCTGCCACTGTCATATCCTGAGTTCTCCTCAGCTTCATCTCAACAGCTGGAAGGTGTTCTGTTTAAAAGCTTTCAGGACTTCCCCTTATGATATGCAAAACAACAGAGGCATTTAAGGACCTTAAAAAAAAAAAAAATCATCCTGGAATTCACAACTAGATAAGAACCTGACCTTCACTTTGAATGAAAATGGAGGCATACTTCAACACCACATCAACTCCTGAAACATCTGAAGAGTTCTCAAATCTCTGGGGGAAGCCACCACACAGCAGTTACTCAGTGAACACCATTTCCAACCTTTCTGAATCAGAAATACAGGCTCTCATGAATTTACACATGAAATGTGTCTCGAGAAAAGAATGCATTAAAAGCAGACATGGAATACTGAATTTGGAATGCATCTCCCTCATTTTCTTCAGGACAACTCTGAAAGGGTGTCTCTGACAGGACAACTCTTGGGATCGCTTGGACAGACATTCAGGAGCCTACATCAGACCAAAAATTCTGCATCAACATGGCAGTAGGAGAATTACTCCTAGCAGTTCTGTTCTTGGGGGGTCAGACATCCTCTTGTAATGACTGGACTCCTAATAATACTGGTAAACTTCAAAAGCATGGTATAGCCGAGTCACATGAAAATTACTGGATAAGAGATCCAAGTGTATGCTCCAGAAGTGCTGTATTAAGCCTTCTGACCTCAGGTATATCAAACATTCAGACCTTTCCCCATCCCATACAAACACGAATATTTCTGTATGCTAGCACTTCAACAAGAACAACTCATTCTACTTATTTGCAGAATACTCTGGCTACTGGAACTGTAGTTTTAAGCTTACATAGATAGGGCTTTGCGCTTCCCTTATTGTTCAGTTCTACAGAAGGGTCTTCTCTTGAAGTCAACTCAAAAATTAGCTTCCTCCACAGGAAGAAACAGATGGATTCTGCTTCAGGGTTATGACAGTGCTTTCTTGCTCCAAAAAAAAAATCTCAGAGGAAATACAGGAGGAGGTAAACAGTTCCCTACTAACTGGTTTTCATCAAAGCAAGCAATTGCAAAACAAAAAAAATTTCATTAATATGTCGTGTAACTCACAGAAATAGACAGTTTAAATAGATGTTTCTAAGTTCATTTAGCCAAAGACTCTACAAAACTGAGTCTTTTCTTCAATTTTTTTTTTTTTTTTTTTTTTGTAAGACAGTAACATACAGCCTTGGAATATAATTTAATCATCCTCTTCGAAGGAGGGCAAATGAAAGTGAAACAACTCCGGATACACAGTTTGTATATCCTTACTTAGCACATTTTCAATATCTCATGTACAAAAATGCTGTTAGCCCCAAAACCATTCTATGGTATTAGACTAAAGAAAGAATCTACACAGATGAAACACTATGAAGAAACATATGGAAAAAGCGGTGAGAGATGTGCTTTGTCAAACATTTTGCACACATCAAGTAAAATATAAATGTAATACACCATTATTTCAAATGCAACTTCCTATGCTTTCTTTGTGGTTATATATAAATACCTCTCCCGGGCTCTTTATAAATGTTTAATATTATTATTTGCTTGTACAAGCCGGGAATTTGAGATGAGGTGTTCACTCAGTTCAGACTTAATTGATACGGTATCTGTGTACTGCATTTTCTACCTGTTCAGCTTATACTCATACTGTTTCGTAAGTGCAGAGCCTCTAACTGGAACTTATCCCCAAATCCCACTCCCTGGTCCCAGACTGCTGGGCACCACATGTAAGGTATAGTATAACCATGACAAAAAAGCCCACTGCATAGGTATATAGCAAAACAGTATGAGAAATTGTAGGTTTGCTGGGTTTTTTAATTGCTGCAAGAATAAATAATTAAAGTCTTTCATGCAGCTACCCCCTCTGCCAGCTTGTCTATGTAATGAGAAACTTCAAGAAAGTGGAAAAAGAACAAGAATTTCACCACTTCCCAATAAAGGCACAGTTTCTCCATTTGTTTTGGCTTCCCAGGCACAGGCTGGAAGTGAACTCCAGGGACAGTATTCTGATCCTTCTCCTACAGTACTCAAGAGCGAACACCAAAGAAACTGCTCCCTACCCCTTATTCCCACCACCACCGTTACATACCTCAAGATGGGCAGAAACGTAACTTCACCATTGCAAATGTATCATGGACTTCATGAGCTGCATAGAGATGCTTTTTGTTTTATTCCTTCCCAAGAACTCCTACTATTGTTTGCTGTTCTGACTGCACAGGGGTGACAATTCCACGCAACAGCCTAAGATTCTAGTTTCCACTGACTGATAAAAAGACCTTTCCTCACTTTTTCTGATACCTACCATATTGCTAGATTTTTATCACTAAAAGGAGTGAGGTGAGATAAAAGATGCAGAGAAGATAAATGGATTCCTCTCAGTGCAAATATTGAGCATAGTACAGGCTGAGTACACTCAGCTATCGTCTCCTGAACAGCTGTAGTCAGACAGTATAGCAGCACTCACTATACCAACGGTACACACAGTTCAATGGGGAAGGAAAGACCACGACCTCATTTCTTCAGTACCGTTTTTCCCCCACCATGCCAACTTCCATCACCATCCCCCTTTCCTACCACCCATTTCCTTACCAGGAGGAAGAAGTTTCAACCAAAGAATGAACTTGGGAAAATATTAGAATGAAGATGCAGTTAATATTTTTTAAAAAAATAATATAGAATTGATGCAAAAAAGAGTTCTTATTTGTCCTGAGGATCCCTCTGTAACTTAAGCAGTGTTCCAACTGGAAAGAAAATGGTAAAAACCACATTACAGACCAAGGTGCCCAAATATAGCACACGCCAAATATTGTTCAACACCTCAGACATCTAGTCGTTATCCCAGGCTGAATTTCCAAAGAAACAAGTTAAGGTAGGACATTTGTTATAATTCCACTTTTTCTAATATTTCAGATAGGTATCTAAACACAATACTGGTAATTATAATAAAAAATCCTTTATGTATTTCTCCTGTCTTTTAATTAATTTTCCCATGAAATATTATAAGTAGTTTCAGCAACTGATACTCTGCAACTTTTTGCATGCTGTTTGCATTGTGCTTTATTTAAGGGGCCAAGCAGCCTTTGTATTTAAACAAGTGAGAGAGAAAAACAATTGTAAACACTAGTCAAAGTTGATTCTCAAGTATAAGTCTATAAGTATAAGTCTGCGAATTTGAGCCATCAATGCTTTCCAGACATACTCTTTACCCACAGTGCTTACAAAGGGGAGCCTGTGCATCTGCAGCGAAAGTCATGGGCAGGCAGAGGTGGGGAATGATCACGGGTGCCTGTTGTAAAGCAACCGCCCACCCCACAGGTTGAAACTAAAGTTAATGCTGACCTTGAACTCTACAGGAAGAAATTAACTGTATTCCCTTCCTCAAACTGATGAATTCCAAAATAGACATTTGAAAGCTTCAAACAAATCAAGTAGCAGCAAACATGAGAAGACAGCACAAATGCCAACACTACATGGTTGTATCTATGGAATGGCTGATGTGTTTAGTGACAAGGCATTGTTTGCTGCTTCAGATCATTACAGAATCCACCTGTTGGCAAGGCTGAGCCCAAAGACGGAGAATAAAGCAACAACGTTTGGTTTCAAAGGCAAGAAAAATATCTTCCGTTAGAATGAAAGAGGTGATTCTGACTCTCTTACCTGCTGTTTTTTCTGAACGTATCTGTCTGTAGTTTTCCACATATAGTAATATTCTATTATGCTTGTTAAGGACTTCCACGGGAGCTAGGGACATAAAGGAAAAGCAGCAGTCACTGCAAGGAGCTGGCACAGAGCCTCACTGAAATCACAGGATTCCTTTGACAGTTCATAGCAGAATTTTGCAATTACTAACCCTACTAACAAAAAAAAGACAGTCAGTGACTGAATCTCCTAAAGGCATTAGATGCACAGGGGACCCATGTTAAATTAAATGCCCTTTAAAAAAATAGTGCTTTCAGTGTAGAAGTAGAGCAGGTTACAGGTAAACCTTCATGTCGCATTGGCTCCACAGTAAACCATTCAAGAGAGGCACAATGTGGAAGCCCACCGGCTCAGACTCTCTTCTGCTTGAGCAGCAAAGACTCAAGCAAGAGCCTCAACTACAGCATCACAGTTCTGATTTGCTTGGCTTCTATGGAAATTTTTAATTAAAAAAAAAAAGTAATAACTAAGGACCATAGAGAGTGTTGTGATTTTTCCAAGTCCCTCTGTCTAAAAGATTAGAGCAGGGAACAAGCAACACTGAAACTACTTGTTTTGTTCCAGGACTCGAAGAGCAAGACACTGAAACTTGGCTCTCTTTACAGTGCTCCATTCAATCTGCAGGCTGAGCACCTAGGGTGGAGCTTTGGCCAAACTACAGGACACTTCCCTTGGATGCCCAAGACTCCTTTTAAAACTTTCAAAAGGCCCTTTCTGAAATCGCACTATAAAACTGACTAAATTTTCATGTTTCAGAAAGCCCAGTACTTATTCTCATTCAAACACAAATTAATCTACAGCAGCTAGGTTGTCACAACACTTTCGTAAATCCTCCCTCAGCTGCAGTGGAGCAGATTATTTTAAACTAACATCTCTACAGGAAAAGCTATCATCTGTGATTTGAAATTCTGACTGTACAATAGGCTGACTCCAGTATGAGGTCTGCTTTTCTCCAACTTACAGCAAGGCATACGCTCCAGTTCAAAGTCCTCTTCAACACAAAGAAAACCACCACACTCTAGACGAGCTGCACATCAGCTCTGGCACTGATCAGAACAGGTCAGTATGTGGGGTCCATTCTTGCATACTTACAAAATCTTGCTGAATGTCAGTGAAATCTTTTCCGTATTTTTCTAGTGCTTCCTCAAAGAGGTTTGCCTCTGAAGCAGACCACTCCTCCATCTCATCTCTGCACAGGACTGGCCCACCTTGTGGCACAAGTGCAGAGATTGCCTTGGAAATGTCATAGACATTTTTGTGCAAAGTGTCCATAGCATGGAACTACATGGTCGTAAAAGAGAAAGATAAATGTAAGGACAAGCATCTAGGGGGAAAAAAACGTTTAACAGTGAAACAGCAACAGCAAAAATTCTGCACCAAGACTTGAGGTGCAGTATTCTATACTTCACACAGTCAGTAAAAACTTGTTCCACCCTCAGACTTGCTGCAGTTGTCAGCGTACAAGCCTCATGTTCGCTAACCCTAGTGGGGTTTGTGGAACACGAGCCCTTGCACATCAGTAATTCCTACTTAGCTACTCACCAGCACCTCCACTGTAGCACTGCTGTTAAGAAAATGCAAGGATAGTGTCCCACTCACCCCAGGACTGAGAAGCCCTGTTAGGTACCATCCACAGATGGGGCATGAAGGCTGAGGCCTGAAGGCATATTTTCTAATAAACTTAGCCATGCACTTTCTTTGGCAAACAATCCATAAAAATTGCATTTAAGACAAATATTTAAGAAGAGTAGCACATGCATACAGTCCCCCCAAAGGCCAGAAATCCCCAAAAAGATTCAAGTCAACTCACACATCATAGCTGAATAGGAAAGAATTACTCCCAGGAGCAATTACTCCTCAGAAAGCTGAGCTATTACTGTCTGCAATTTGTGATCTACAAAGGGCTGGGCTAAGAGTATGTTGCCAGGGAAGAACTGGTATTAGTAAATGAAAGCTTGGCTTGATTTCCTGATTTCTGTAGTTTTAATCAGGAGGTTATTTGCCTTTCATCATATCAGTTTTCACACGTGCATAGTTAATCTACAGTGTTCCATCCTAGAATTTGCTCTATATATGATTTCACATTATTACAGTTATGAGGTGTGGCTTTGATAACAGTTCTCTGGAGACTTCATAAACTTTATTCAAATTTTCATTAAACTTTCCCTAGCATTGAAGTTCAAGTTTCCCCTTTCCTCTGTCTACTCAGAACCCTTTAAGATAATAAAATATTAACAACATCACCACTCCTCAGGTACTCTATAATGGAGCTTGTCAAAGAGAAGAATGGAATCAACTGAAACTTCTTATCTGACCACAAAGCTTTTGCCGCAGACGATCTTGCCCCAGGATGCCAGTGGCAGTCTGGCATTGGGGAAGTGATGAGCAGTGCCATTCTGGCATTGTAACACTGCAGACAGGCAGATCATAATTTGCATTCTTCTCGAGCCAGCTATTAAGCCCATGCAAAAGAGAGGCTGTGAACCATGTCATCAAAACATTTTAATAAAACAAAAAAATAAATTATCTCATAGAAATATCCATGATGGATTCTAGGAGGCACAAGGCCAGAAAAAGTTACTCCATATGTAAATAAAGGGTTTCTTTACAATGACAGGACCTGCTTCACAGCAGGCCACAATTACGATCCATCTGCCCCTCTCTCTTTCCCAATTATTATTGCTGAGGTGAATTATTTTTCATGTCTCAAAAACTTAAGGTCCTCTTAAACATCTTACCAGCGTGATGTCCCTGGAGGCTGCTGCAGCACTCATGTGCAAACTTGGCTGTCTGACAGAACTACTGCAATCTAGCGCTCGGGCAAACGTACCAACAGACCTGAAAGAAATTAAATAGAGCATTAGCTTTGCACGCAAAACAAGTGTAAATATAAACACGCAGCCAACACTTTTTAAGATCAGCAGATTCCGTTTTCCAGTAACAAGATTACATGGTTTGGTGCTAGATCTGAGCCAAAGACCATTCTCTTCAGGTGTGATCTGTTATTATAAAGGCTTTACTCTACTTAGTTCATATGACAAAAGAGGCTTAGGCACAGGAGTTTAAACAGTGACAGACTCAAGGATCACAAACGAGTTTTGGACTACTCTTATCCCTTATCTCTCAACAGACACAAGCTGTAACAGAAATTGAGCACAAGTTTTATGAATGGCAAAGGTCTCTTCCACAATGGAAACAGCAGTGCTGCATTGTCCAGAAGTACACAAACAGATGCCACGACCAGACAGAAAAAATGCAGTAATGCAAGCATTTTTCTAAAAGTTTCCATGAAATTAAAAACAATCTCTACTTTATAACATAATATAGTATACGTATTATATAGTCTGCATAAGAATACAACAATTCTCAAATACTTCCCAATGCCAGCCATGCCTGCTTGTGAGACAACAATCCTCATGCTGCTTACTTTGTCCCCGAAGAAACCTTTAACAGGAACATTGCTTCCAGCAACTCCTACTCCCCTCTCTGCTTGCTACACCACATGGGTGAAACGCTTGTGCGAAGTGAACTGGAGCCAAACTCCTCTAAGCAATTACAACAACAAAAAAAGGTGGGTTTGTTTTTTTTTTTTTTCCACTTCACTCAGATCACTTCCCCAATCTAGCTGAGTGCACAGAAGAACAAACCAGTGCCAAGCAGTGCAGGAGTAGGAAATGCAAATGCTTAAGCAGTATTTGTCATCAAGTATCTAATTTTGGCCAAAATCCAAAACAGCCTCCCGCACCCAAGTTTCTGTGGCGATTCACACCGCCCTCTCCCCAGCCTCCCAGTTGCTATCCCCATCCCTGCTTCCCCTGTCCCCAGCTTTAGCCGAGCTGATACTTCTGCGCTTGTGGCATCTAATTATAAACTGGATCACTTTTCCAATTCTGGACAGAAGCAATTTTTATCTTGATCTCTTCAGCAATTCTCACTACCACCATCACCTTCGAGTAGCTGTATCAGCAAACCCAGTGGGCAGCAGCAAACAGCCAGAAAGCATTACTAAAACCAGCTTCGCCACTAAAAGCCCACACCAGGTGGAAATCCCCATCACAAAGCAGCTCTACAGTTGCTCCAAACCAAGCCACGTGCAAACACCCACCCATCGGGGCACTTCTACCCTCTGACTTCCTGCTGGGTCTTCCTGACACCAGAGCACTGTTTAATCCAGAAGAAAAAGTTCTTGGCTTTTCGGTGATGTCCTGTACTTCACTTCATTAGAAGCAACTGCGAAACTGCAGCCCTGTCAAGAAGGGTCCCTTAAGAAGCAAGAATACCCTTTGCTGGAGATATCCCAGCTCTCCCCATTACTCTTTCATGTTTGTTCTGCATCACTAGTGGAGATTATCCTCTCCCCATTTCCATCCATTTCCCTACGTCCATCTCATCAAGCAGAAATAATCTGTTGCACATAAACCACTTGGTTCAGCTGGCTTGACTTTACTGTCGACACAGTTGAAGTGAAACAGCAATGCATCACGCAAGCAGCACAGTGAAACTTCCACAAGCCTGAATTTTATGGGAATTCTTTAGCATAGCCAGAACACTGTGAACTTTATAAACCTTAAAAAAGTCTATACAACAAAAAGCACGTGTTTAACCAAAGGCAAAAATATATTCATGGATTCTGAACTGTCTTCAATCTGGAGGGCAGTTAACATTTTTAATTTTAATCAACCTAGTTTCAACTCTTGGCTCCCTGTTACTGGACTCACACACAAGACCCAAGCAGACATGTAAAGGTTTTTAAGTGCTGCAATTCAGATTAGCAATTTTAAAAATTTTGGCTAAAGTTCTTAATAATGGCAAGTTTTGTCTTCAAAGTACACAGAAAATTCGATTTGGGTGTTTACTTCTGAGTATACACACTTCTCATCTTGAGTACTTAAAACATTGCATTTCACCATCTCCCTCATTTTCCTCAATCGCCCCCCCAGTTATTTCCCTGAGCTTGAATCACTCCACATGTTGAATGGCGTATGCACTCTCCTTGCACCATCCAAGAGCTTCAATTCAGAACCAGAAGGCCCTGTCCAGGCCAATTCTTACACACCAGCTCTAGGGCTGCCTCTCTGGGGAGCATCCCATGAACCTACCTCACAACAGGCACAGCAATGCCACACATGGGGAAGTTCGGGGGAGACTCAAAGCATGATAACTCCAGTGGGGAAAAAAATCAAGAATCTAAAGGCTGACAGAACCAGGGCCCAACTCAGAGCGTCTGAAACACAGGCACAACTCAGTTTTCCAGGGCTAAAGCCCTTGGCTGACACAGGCAGCCCTCCGAGTCAAGGTCCACATCTATCAGATACCACTCTCAAGACTAGCAAACCAGATACTACTAGCAGCTTCTAACTTTACGCGCTCCTTTCCTAACCATATCCAATGATAGCTTGCTCCACTGACTGAAAACACCACAAGGTCCAACTATCCATCTACTCACACCACTCTCCTCCCACACAGTCCTACAAACTTACCTAAAAAGCACAGAATTTGGAGAGTTATTTTTTCTTTTTTTTTTTTCCAAATTATTCAGTCCCCAGTTGCTATGAAAGCCTAAAATTTAGTATAGGCTTCTTTAATTGGTGTGCATTTATATGGACTTTTGAAAAATGAAAAGTTGATCAACAAAGATTGCTTTGGGCTTAAATGAAAGCATGATTTCACCATCTGTACAGATTTGCAGGGTTTTACTTTATTGTGCCCACCTACTGGAATCTATGCATTAGAAAGCATCCACACTCCATCAAAAACATTTTACCAGACTTCTTAGCAAACTATTAATGGATGCTAAAATGTCACTGGATTTGTAAATGGGAGAAAATGCACAGAGTAATGAACTGTCAAGAATTTAGTTTGCTAAGCCTTCTGCATGCTGGCCAAAGAACTTGAAAAACCTCAGCAATTACAGGATACTTATTACATGCCATTTGCTTTTCTTTTATGAAAGTGATTAACTGTAAGTTATAAATCTGAGTAGCTGTTCCTAAAGTCATGCAATTCCATGGAAGGCATGTAAAATGTGCATCATTTCAAAATGGAGCAGATGAATCAAGCAACCAAATACCAGTAAAGCAAAAAGAACATAAAAAGTACTCGGAAAAGAAGAGTTATTAAAATTTACTCTTACCGTGCTACCACCAGGAACTGGTCTATCTGCTTGTCTACTAGCGGGTTAAAGGCTTCCCAAACTTTTGTTTCAAGTTTTGACTGATCTCTTCCATCATCCTCACCTGGTTGGAAAACAAATTAGAAATGCTCAGTACGGCCATGTTAAAATAAACAAACTTCTAGATTTTTTTATCTCACAATAATTTAACTGCTAACCCATCTCAGTTACTCTTTCTAACAGGCGACTGTGAAAAATTCATTCACTCATTTGTCTGTAACTATTTCAGCTTGACAGACACAGCAACACAGCTCATCTGAATCCAGCAATCAGGTTTTGAAGAACTGGTTTTACAGGACATGTAATGGGAAACAAGAGTACATGCTTCTCCGAACTAGCCAATCTCTCTTCAGCCCCTCTCCCCAGCTTCTCTCTCTTTCTCCTTTATCTTGCAGCCCTTTCAGGAAAACAGGCATACTTCCAGCTGCTCTGAGCAGGCAAAGAGTAGCCAGTTCAACTTGCATTGGCTGCTTTCTAAGGGGGAAATCATGGCATCAGACTCTCTTGCTTTTATTTACCTGATTCTACACAACAAGTCAAAATACCCTGGAAAAAATACAGAGGCAACTGAGACTTTTTCTTCTTTTTTTTGCTTTTTTCTGCTCCCTTTAAAACATCTGGAGATTATCCTTATCTGAAGCCCTGTTTTGGCCCACTGAGGGGAGAGAATGCCTTTCAAATTAGTTCATCTTCCTTAGGAGGCTTGCCCAGCTGCTGAATAAATACCAGCTTCATAGACAAATTAAACAAAAGTCCCGACCAACTTACTTGCCTCTTCCAACATGAGGCTAATAGCATCAGCAAAGCTCCTAAACAAAGACAGAAGCGTCTCCTTGCTTTCACATCTCTGCCCACACCGTCTGCAGAAGGTCCTTCCAACATGGGTCACAACCCCTGCTCTCTTAGGAGAAGCATACCAACAGACCTTTCCCCATGCATTACACGGGTCTCAGAAAGGAGCAATTAGATGCCAATATTCTCCATTCCTCTCAGTTTTTCCACTCACTTTAGGATCTATAGTGCAGTGCAATGACAAACCTTAAGTTAGTTACTATTTGGTAACTAGTATCGGTTACTGCTACTACTCCCTCTTGCTCAGGCTGGGGTCCTCATTGTCCTGCTGCTGCATGACATGGCAGGGGCAGGCTGAGGTCTCACCACACCTTCAGGCCAGAAAAATTATCCTCCTGCCTGTTCTGCAGGTGAGAAGTCTAGGCTGGCAGCCAGCACTTGGGATGGGGAGAGGGCTCCGAGGAAAAGACACCCAGCAATAATGGGCAAATTTATGAGAGGAGAGAGCATTTAATTGGCAGTAATTGGGGAGGGGCTCTTAAAGGGAAGTGAGGCTTGATTAAAAACACAAAAAGCTTTACAGAAGCAATGGAAATTTGTGTTTCCCATGGAAATTCTGAAATCTCTTAATAAATAGAGTACAAGCTCTGAGAGAGCAAATTAATTCAATTTGTCTCAACAACTTTTATGATTTGGACAAATGCCCACTCAAAGACTGGTTTGAGACATAACTAATTGCGTTCAGTGGGCAACAGCTTCAGTCACCAACCAACCAGGCCACTGTTGTGCCCATGTCCTGGCAGTGGAAATCTCCTCCTCCCATGCTTACACAGGCCACACACATAAAAGCAGCCACATCAGACATGGCCTCTTGAAAATTTAAATAATTTATGGAAATTACCCTCTTTTAGTAAGTCTGTTATATCTGCCTGGTATCTGTTTCCAACTCGAATCTCTCCTTTATCAGCGAGTAGAGTCTTTTGCTGAGGATCATATACTAGTGAATAGAAGAAGAAATCCTAAAAATAAAAGAGCAGCAAAAAAGTGAACAGTATTATTAGCTTTTACTTCCAGTTTTACGTACATACTAGCAAGCTTTTACATTTTAAGTTTGGTTTTATTACCTATATATAGGACTTCAAAATTGGGTGAATAAACAATAAATGAACCACCAGTTTTAAAACCCTACGTCAAATGCTGCCACTTTCCTCTATCTTATAAGAGTAACAGCTCTGCTCAAAAGCAGCCATTCCTTTAATATACAGTCTTTGAAGTTGAACTGAACAAAGCTCCTCTTGCACAAACGAGGCTCAGAAGGGCCAGGAGATAATTTTTAGTAGCATCAGCTGTTTCAGAACACAAAATTGCACTTTCCCATATACCAAAATAGCAGTACTAGACACTAGTGAGTTATCTGCATAGAAATACTGGTGCAAAGGAAAGCGTAACTTGAGCGTTACAGCTATACCAATGAAACACCCCATGGAGACACGAAGCCCCGGACAATCTCTGTGGCCTCTGCTGGACTTGCTCCAGTGCATCAATGTCTCTCTTGCACTGGGAGGCCCAAAGCTGGACACAGCACTCCAGAAGTGGTCACACAAGCGATGAGCTGAGGGGATGAATCCCTTCCCTCCACCTGCTCACTACACTCCTGCTAATATAGACCACCATGTGCTTGGCTTTCCTTGTCACAGGGATGCCACACTTCCTTCTGCTTATTAGTGGGAGAGGGGTGGCAGCAGCAGTAATTAGCTGCAGGTGACAATACATTAATTTGTTGCTTTTGTGCAAGCAGATGAGAAAAAGGCTAACAGAGCTGCTTGGCTTCTGCTACCTGGGTATGTAAAATTAAGGCAAGAAGTCACACCAGAAAGAGAATGTCCTGCCAGGGTGGAGAAAGCAAACAGCCAAAACTTGAACTACTGCACTGTATAAGTAATTAAACTTTCCCCATATTTCTGTGTCAATAGCAGGCACCCTGTTTAAATACATCTCATTTCACGCTCACCTCATTTTCCCTTTCCCTATATTTGTATGTGTCAACAGAATTCAACAAAAATTAGGACAAAACCAGCATCAGTTTCAAGCCCTGTTCATCTTCATGAAGAGGTGGCAAGGGAAAAGAGACTCTCCCAATCTGTCATACCGAGCCCAAAAAAGGAAGAATCACTGTTTCTCCAGTAACATGCCAAAAATTCTGTGTGCTAGGCCTTCAAAGGTACACACTCGTTCTGTTCCTCAGCCCTGTGCATTACACACGTTAATCTAATTATGATGTGATAGAGGTAAGGTCTCCCGTGTTTTCTTTATATGTATAATGCATCCAGCATCCAATTACACAAGTAAAAGAGCGTTAAACATGGCAGGTCTCTATTTTCTGGTCCGATTTTAGAAAAAAATCAGCATCTTCTGGGAAGAGATAAACTTCTACGGAAGGGAGGAAAAAAGCCAGAAAAGAGCCAAGTAAGCCAGCCAAACCTGCTTTCCTCTCTGACAAAGCTACTGCACAAACAAGTATCACCTATGCAGCACAGCCCAAGAGGCAAGTCAGGAATTCATATCTATCTCCTCCAGCAAAAAACCAGCCATTTCCCCACCATGAATGCACGAACTCCAAGGGCAGGAACAATCACACACTATGTCACAATAACAGGATAGAAGTGATAGCTAACACTTGGCAAAATGGTCCTCTGACACCCAGCCAAGGCAACCAGAAGGGCTGTCTGTGGTTGGGTTTGGGTTGGGGGGATTTGGTTGCATCCTAAACAAATGACATTTTTGACAGAATTGATTCCTACTCCCACAGGCACAAGGGTCAATTTACATCAACCTACTGATAGCAGAGAGCTTCAGAGTAGATGAAAACTCATTTATATTATAGCTGTGTAAAGAAATCTGTGTCTCTTGCTCCCTGACATACACAAAATTTAAGATATTACAATATTTTGAGGATTTATTGTTGCATGAATAAAATGTAGGAAAGGTTTTTGTCTCACAAGCTTCCATGTTATAAATATAGTGAGTGTTTTATTTGTTCCAGCTCCAAAATACCTAACTGTAGGACTAAGTATATGCAGTGCAGCATTAATGCTTTTCAGGCACATTGCCCAGCAAACCAAACACTGTAGTATAGTAACACAGTGGGCCCCAAGGAAGGTCAATTCTACAGACGATTTCTTAACACAGTCTTTCTTGGCCAGGGAAAGTCACTGATTGTGGAGAGGTTTTCTCCCATGGTCTCTGACCGTTAGAAGCCTTCACTGCTTCTCCTTCATTGATTATCGCTATGAATTTTCTCTACAGAATAAAACCCATCCTTCTCTACCAGTCTCAGGTCAACCTTTTATATCTCATCCACTTTTGTCCCGAATCAAGCAGGTTTAGCGAAAGAATTAAAAACCTCCGACCTCTTCTCCCCAACTAGAGTCTCCTAAACAGACGAAAGATGGAAGTTTAGGGGCTCAAGTGTGAATACAAGACAGACTGTAATCGCCAGAGGTAATGCAATACCACCACCACCTTCTCCCACAGAAGCATGAAATTCAGCTCATGCAAATGGAGTAGGATTTCTGGAAACATTAATAAATGTCATATTAGTGCCAATGCAAACTATTGTGTAAGGAACAAAGCAGATCCTTGTAGACTCTAAAGCACATGTGAACTCTTGACCACCACTACTCGATAAGAACAATTTTTCAGCAGGGTTTCAAAACAAGAGTGATGGTCACAACAAAGTAACATGGCTCTTCAAAACCCTCCATGCTCATTTTAGCGGTCAAAACTCTGTATGCTGAGTTTGCAGCACTGAAGAAAAAAGAAGGGGTTTCTCTTTTAATTTCAGATCACAGAAAACACCCAACATGTTTGGAAAAATTAAAATGACCTGCCAAGAGTTAAAATTAAACCATGACTTTCTACTTCTCCAAAGTGTTATACAGACACATATGCTCAGAGCTTCCCTTCCCAAGCCCCTAAGCTACCTATAGCCAAGATTCAAAGCCACTAAGAAACTGCAGAAGAACTGGAAAAAAAAACAGGCTCAAAGTGAAAGTACAGTACAGAAATAGTGGTTTGTTCATTACAGCTTGCAAACTTACTTTCATGAAGTCAGTTCGGGTGAAGGGGAGGAATATGTTTTAACTATATAGCATTTTATTTTTAGTGAGGTACCAAAAGGTACCAAAATGCTAGACATCTACCCAGCATGCAAAAGTCACACAAGCCTCTGGATCTATCCTAGCAGAGCAGTAAAATTGATGGTACACATAAAATAGTTTCCTGCAAAACAGGGAAATATTATGTTTTTGCCATAACCGGCTTTGTCCTTCTCTTGATCTCCCTGGAAATAGAGTATCTACAGGAAATTCAGGTTTTCTGGTTGCTTTTTTTCTTTTTCCTCCTGTTCCTCACTCCTGCTACAAACCCAATTCTGCCAGGCACAGTGAAAGAGTCAGTGCTGATCCCCCTTCAGCCTGCTCTTCAAATGTAATACAGCAGTCTTCCTGAGGAAGATGAGAGAGAGAGAGGGTGGAAGCAGGAAAACAGAGACAACACAAATGTAATTTTGCTATGCTTACTACCCCCCTAAAAATTTCTGTTTGCATGTTTAACCTCCTTCGAGGTAGACAGCCTTGGGCTGAAAACCTACTTTTAGTGGTCATAACATACAAAAAAATCAAACTACAAAATCCCTAGAACTGCTTAGGCCTTATTGACAGAAGCCATGTTAAAAAAAAAACAACAAAAACACTCAACACAACAACAAAAAAAACCCCAAACATTTTGTAAGCAAAGAACAGTTTAAAAGCAGGGAGGGAAGAAGAAACAGTTCAAAACAATACCACCCAGTGCTCGGAATTCACCAGGCAACATCTATCTCCTTTTCTTAATCTCTTTACCCTCCACCCAAGCACATTTGTGTTCCTGAGCTTTTAATTTCTTTACCATCTGTCCAAGTTAGCTTGCACCACAGCAAAATACTGTGCTAAGTGACAGGACACATTCAGGGAACTCTCATTCTGTGAAATCTCTAAGTGCCTGCTCAGTTTCAAAAATAACCCACATCACTCATCTTGCATTTTGAGAGTTCAAAAGGATGAAAAAAAGAAATCTCTTTCTATTCCTATATCTGTAACAGAGCAGTTGCATGATTAGAGCAAGCCAGCTCCCTTCTCTGTGTCAAGGTACTCACCTGTAACATTAGTGGTAATAAAAATGCGTTTGGAGCAATAACGAACAAATACTACTTAAAAGTTGGGTACTAGTAAATCTAAAATATTTTCAGTTCGATTAAATTCTGCTTTCAAATTGGCATATCCAAGACTGCTAGCTGGTAACAAGCATTTCTGAATGCAACGGCCCTTGTTTGATGCGCTGCCACTTGGCAGCCCTGAGCAGACTCGACATGTTTTTGGTTTCACATTCCAAAGAGAAACCCGACTATTTAATTCCTGTGCTTTGTTTAAAATTCTCTTAAACTAGAGTATCAGATTAAGATTAATCTTATGCTTAAATAAATACTAAAGAAAGCTAACAAAGCATTTAAAAAGAAAGCTCAACTATGACACAGACTACAGCATGCTCCTTGCAGAAAACTGACCTGTTTTCTCCTTGTTTCTTAAAGGCTGGTAATGACCGTTACCCTACAGGTTTCAATTACAAGATTTCCTCTCTTGTATAATACATTTTAATGTTCTCAAAGGTAATGCCTGCACATGTATTCAAATAACATACTGAAATTGTTTGCTAATCTCCCAAAGTAAAGGTCCCAGATTGTCAAATTCCAAGATTGTCTAACCCAGCTGGCAGCCAGAGGTCTAGCCACAATTAAAGGTTATATAAATACATTTAAAAGAACTACAATTGTAATTTTCACAATCCCAAAATACCTGAAAAAGTAAAACCCAAGATTTATATTCTGAATATTGATTAACAATGCAACACAACTCCATTTCAAGTGTTCAGTCTGAAGTACCTTTAAATAGCCAGATTTCTGCAGGGCTTGGAATTAACTGACAAGTATTTTTTCAGGGACCTAAGTGTCTGTGGTGCCATATGAAGACTACAGGCAAACAACAGTGAACTCAAAAGACAGAGAACTAAGCTCCTCAGAAATCTGAGGCAAGATTGAGCTTAAACAATATTAACATAAATCTGTAAGATTTCAGGGTAAAGCAAATACATAGAAATACAGCATGCTGGCTTGCTGCCTCTTCACATTGATGCCATCTCCCACCCTGGCTTGTGTGGGGCACAAGTCTCCAGGTTTGAACTTTCAGACTGCCAGGCTGACAAGCAAACAGGGCTCTCTTCACTGAAGAAAAGGCAGCTTACTGTCACAAGGATGTAGACAACAGGTCTGGCCTCTAGATCCACAAAGTTTTACACCAGAATGTAAACTGTATTGAGCCTACAGCCTCCCACTGTCAATGCCCATACGGTGTACGTAGAAATGAAAGAACCACCTTCTTTTTAGAAAACCTGTGAAAAGCCACCAATCCTAAAATGTGCCAGAATAAACTGTTCAAGCTTGGTAATTCACAAAATGGGTTCATACCTCCCGTTCCAGATATGATTTAAGGGATTCTGTCTCATTTAACAGAGTAACGCTGCATTTGCCTCTAAAAAAAAGAGAAACACATTTTATGAAAAAACATTTTAAATGTTCATGTGATTCACAAGATGGTATTACTGAAGCTGTACACAGAATTTAAAATTACATTGAAGAATACTTGAATGATAATAATGCCATTTGGTTTTTGAATAAAAAGGACTGGAAGAAAATAGTCATTACCTAATGTGTGTGGCTGGCAGAGATTCCAGCTGTCGTGACAGAAACAACTCACGATGTCTTAGCTGATGCTTCTGTTTCTCTGGTAAATCAACCATTTCTGGATTTTCCATCTCTTCCTCCATTTCTCCTATTTATAAAGAGACAAAATTGACCATCAAGAACAGTGCAAGTATTAATTCTGAGCCAACTGGCATGAGCTGCTCCAAAACCTTTGCTAAATAATACACATTAGTTAGATGAAATCTAACTCCACTGAATCCTCACGCTTCAGCCAACTGAACAATCAGATAATTAGTACAGATCCTTCAAACGATGCCTGCAAAGAGTTATTATTTATTCACCTCTGGGATCAAAGCATTGCTGGTACGCACAGGTCACACTGGCTCACCAAGCTGAAAGTCACACAAATCTGTGAGCGATCTCTTCAGAGCTGCTCTTGTAGACCATCACTGCACTGTCAGCTCCATGGGGAAGAAGCTGATGCACCATGAACGAGGCAGTGAAAGCGCAGTCTCTCCCCTCTGCCAGGCATCAGCTACCTCAGACCCTACCCCTCTTACAGCATATCACAGACTGCTCCATTCCAACTTCAAAAGCTTTTGCAGGAAATGCCCACTGAAAAGGTGAGTTTATTTATTTAGTGTATTTTATTATCTTCACCCCAACCACAGCCATCAGATCACAGTCACAAGATTAACTGGAATGTAACCAAGTGCCCAAGGCCAGCCTTGCAACCAGCCCCACCCTGCCACACCACATGCATTTGACTGGCACTCCAGTGTTGGCAGTACTGCTATCTTTCAAATGTTTCTTTCTTTTGCCGTCAGGATCCACCATCTTGCTTTCAGGTATCCAATCTACATCCAACCAGTTTTTAAATGAATGCCAAAGTAAATACATGAAATCACATCCACACCAATACACAAGTGATCCAAAACAACTCTAGGCATCTTCCTTCTAAGAAATAAATTATTAGTATGTTTTGTGTTCATTAGCAAGTATCCTGACCAGACTTTCTCCTTCCCTAAGCAATTAAGGCAGTTACTGTATTTTGCAAAACCAAGGGAGAGGTTTCCCAGACTGTTGTAGAATAAGCTGTAAAGTCTCATATGTGAATAGTAAAACTCTAATTTTACAGCAGCGGTACTCTCAAAGAGCAGACTTATGCCTGCAGCTTAATTCAACAGTTGTTGCCAAGAAACATTTCTAGTCAGAAACACATACAGGCACAGTTATGATTTATACACCCTTAAGATTAATTAACTATAATCCTCATAGTTATCCTAAAATAAAGCAAACAAAAAGGAGAGATCCCCATTTTATAAAACACTAAAATTGCACTTAGTTTTAAATAGGGCACCATTATGCCAAAGGGAGTGACAAAAAAATCTGTACCCTTCAGGTTCCCCACAATTTATCACTGTTTTACTGTCCTGGAAAAAGACCCGTGGTTTATATGCCCCTCAGGTAAGCTGCTCCAGCAAGGAAGGAAAAAAATGGCAGCATAATTAAACCATACTGCAACATACAATAGGTCTTACACCACAGGAGCTGTTCAGCATACGACAGCATGCACTTACATTTTACTATCTTCCTAGGAACCAGAAGCCCAATTTACATTTGTGCCACAGTTTCATGGTTCTGCAATTTATTTACTGAAGTGGATTCTGTTTTAGCTGAAAATTAATATTGTGGCTGCTGACCTACACTATAAATACACCAGCAGCAATCCACAAACAAGTCAGCAAGTTCCAGGCTGGCTTGCCCAAAAACCGAAGGATGCACAAATGAAAAGGCATTCACGCCTGCACTTACAACAGTTTTTTGGAGAATGACAGTAGTGCACTGTGTAACGCAGGGAAAAAAACTGTAAGAAGCAACCTAAAATACTTCATATCTCCAGTGCATTTAATAGCCTAGAGCTTTCAAAAATTACATTTTTTAAAAAATATATTAACCACTATGTGCCAATCAAATCTACAAACAAAACGAAACCACTCAGCACAACCAAGCTGATCACGGGAACCACATCCCTTCAGCTCAGCTCATCTTCCAACTAGTATTTTATTTATGTGTCTAGCTTTTGTAACAGAATAAGGAAGGTGGGAAGCTTGTATCTTCTTGTTTTGCCAGCTCTGCTGTGCACAGCCTTTCAAAACAAAAAACAAAAAAACAACAAAAAAAGATTTTTTTTAAGGAAAAAACAAC